CCCCAACCACCAAAAACGAAAGTCTTTTTATATTGGCATTTTATCATTTGTGATAGGTACTGATTATTTTAAAGCAATATTTTTTTTTTGCATTTTTCGACGATTTTAGTGCATTTTCAATAAAAATGACTTTTAGTTTAACTAATAACTTGTAATTTTGTATCATTAATATAATATTTAAAAACCCCCCCCAGAAAAAAATCGTATCTACGCCACTGAGTTAGGTAATCTACCAGTTTTAATTACTGGCAATATACCTATCTGAAATACAGTTTTATTTAGCATATTTTGCCATTTTTTGATATGTACTGCATATTTCTGTACCAAATGCGCATTATTTTCATTTGATTTGATTTATTAATATTTAAAATTCCAAAAGTAAATCATATAAATATAATAYAATTTTAGGGTACAATATAAAAATAATGAAAATAAAAAACTTTTTATTTTATATGGTATATTCCTATAAAATAAGAGCATGAATGTATATTTCTGAGGTTTTTAAAGCATATAAATTCGGATCCTAATAATAACAACAAATAAGTTATTTGTTTAATTTGAAATTAAAATTCACTGAGATATATGTACTTTGTTGTAGTAATTTATTTATTAAAGAAATGTTTTAGATTTAATCCATAGCTGAGAAGGTAGGTATGTTTTTACAATAAAATGACTTATTTTTTATTTACTATTTTTTAGCATTACCTTGATGACCGCTTTATCTAATAGTTAAATAAATKTTTAAAAATATATACCAATATAACATATTAAAGGTACTTATTATATGAAAAAGTTATCAACAAAGTTAATGAATATTAGTTAAAAATTAAAATCAATCTAGTACATACTCAATGAACATTGAATAATTATAAATTTCAAAGGATAAAAATAAACACAAATGTCTTAGTTGTTATATTGTTTTATACGTACTGTAATATATATGTAACATATATAATGGTTTAAATGTGTATATTGTCAACCCTGGTAGGCAGATATTATAACTTGTATAATAATAATTCAGAAATTAATACTTACAATATCCTTTCTCGACAAATTCCATTTTGCGTTCACAATTGTATAGGAAAATAGGATCATCTTTAACAACAACTTGACTATAAATAGAATTAAAAGTTAGTCATAAAAATTAAATATATATATATATTGTAAGATTTGAACTTACTATTTGTTATCTTGTTCAAATTTTACCACAGCAACAATATTTTTAACCTTTGCCAAAAACTCTAATAATTCTTCTGGAATTGATGGATCACGAGAATCTACAACTACACCAGGCCACCAAACACGATTGAGCACTTTTGCCCAAACGCCAGTACCTTTTGAGTATTGCCTTATAGAGTTTGGTTCACTCATGTTTACGATGTTGGTATTTAATATTCACCTATAAAAATATAAAACAACAATTCATCGAGGGAACTTATAAAATAATATTTAGTTTTGAAGTTGCACAAACCTTTTAATTAAACAAATTCAAAATGATAAGATAATAGAAATACTTATAATAAAAAAATTTAAAAGGGCCCTGTCTATGTGTCCTTAAGGTGGGGGGGGGTTGCTGCAGTCAATGGAAAAAAGTGGCTTTTAGTCCAAAAAGCCATTCAAAATTGAAAGGATTTGGTTTGACGGATTTTTATTTTTAAAACTGATTTATATTGATTAACAAATTTACTAGGGTATTGTGGAGACGATTTTTAATATTATGAATATTGAAAGTGTAATACAAATAATATAAATAAAAATAAAAAATGATCAAAATTTAGATTCTGAGCGGAGCAAGGAATGTATTGATTTTACCATGATGTGTTTTTTATTTTTATTTTGTTTCTGTCCTCACGTTTTGGGGCAGT